TGCTGCACCCGCAGCTGCTGCTGCTGCTGCTGCTGCTGCTGCTGCTGCTGCTGCAGGCGGTGGCTGCTTCTACCCGTCGTTCTGCTGCGGGCTTCAGCACACCACCAGTAATAAAGAAAAAGATTTTATATAAGAGGCGTTTCAAGATTAGGTCTGCTGCAGCAGCTGCCGGTGCTGCTGCTGCTGCTGCTGCAGCAGCTGCTGCCGGTGCTGCTGCTGGCCTTGCTGCTGGCCTTGTTGCTGCTGCTGCAGCTGCTGCTGCTCCCCATTAAGAGATATATGAATCTTCTCCTTTTATAGAGACAACACCCGTAACAACGGAAGGCACTCCTACACGAAGAGCTGCTGCTGGAGCTGCTCGTGCTGCTGCTGCTCTTGCCCCTTGTGCAGCAGCAGCAGCAGCAGCAGCAGCAGCAGCTTGGGTTATGCCCTTCCACGGAAACGAAGAGAGGCCGTTGTTGCTGCTGCAGCGCAGCAAATTTAGCTGTTGCCGGCAGCAGCAAACCCTCAGCAAAGAACAAACTGTGCTGCTGCTGCTGCTCGAAGGAGCCGCTGCTGCAGCGGGAGCAGCAGCAGGAGCAGCAGCAGCAGCAGCAGCAGCAGCAGCAGCAGCAGCAGCAGCAGCGGGCCTGGATCGGATCCCTTCCCCCCCCTGCAGCAGCAAATAAACTGCCTCTTCCTTTTAGAGTTTTTTTTCTTAAACAAAAACAGATTCACTTCACCTGCCTTCTAGATGCCCCCCAGGCTTTCCAAGCAGCAGCAGCAGCAGCAGCAGCAGCAGCAGCAGCAAGGTCTTGCTGCTGCTGCTGCTGCTGCTGCTGCTGCTGCTGCTGTTGCTGCTGTGCTCTTATTGCGTTCTTACTGCAAATAATTGGTTATTTCAGTCTTATTCTCGTCTTGTTTGTTTTGGGGTCTATATTGCAGACAAATATTACAAGTGTTTAGGGTTTAGGGTTTAGGGTTTAGGGTTTAGGGTTTAGGGTTTGCTGCTGCAGTGCGGGGCCGTCGATAGCAGCAGCTGTCTGCTGTTTGCTGCCTTTGGGGTATATCTTTTTAATTGTTTCTACTTTGTAATGGCTTGTTCATGCTTTGTGTGTTGCTTTTATTGCTGCTACTGCTGCTGCTGCTGCAGCAACAGCAGCAACAGCAGCAGCAGCAGCAGCAGCAGCACCGGTAGGCAGTGCTGCTGGGGTTCCCCTTTCGTGCTACGTAAGGTGCTGCTGCTGCTGCTGCTGTTTGCTGCAAATTATTTGTTTTTATTATTTTTTTGTTTTATTAATAAAAACTAAAAAGAAATTTGATGCATATACACTCCCCAGCTGCATAGACACCAGAAGCGGCTGAGGGTTTAGAGTTTTAGGGTTTAGGGTTTAGGGTTTAGGGTTTAGGGTTTCAAGAGCCCCGCGGCCCTCTTCGCCTCCCTCTAAGGAAGTAAAGCGCCTAGCCCTCGTGCTAGCTAGCTATATAGCTAGCTGGCTAGCTATAGAGCTATATATAGCTATATATAGCTATATATAGCTATATATAGCTATGTATCTGTATGCATATAACATATATATACGTATAAATATATAGATGTATATATAAATATATATAGTTATATAATATAGCTATATAATATAGCTATATATAACTATATATAGCTATACATAGCTATATATATAGCTATGTATGCTTCAGGGTTTAGGGTTTCAGGGTTTAGGGTTTTGGGGTTTAGGGTTTCAGGGTTTAGGGTTTTGGGGTTTAGGGTTTTAGGCTGGCTAGCTAGCCAGCTAGCCATATATAGCTAGCTAGCTACACCCACTTGTGGGCTGCGGTGTCTCTGTTGTGCCGCTAGCCCCAGCTAGCTGCATATGCACCTCAGCTAGCTACAGATACACCCCAGCTAGCTGCAGATACACCCCAGCTAGCTGGAGCTAGCTGTCGTTGTGTTGAGAGTGTGTGGTGAGACCCGTGGCTGCTGTTGCTGCTGCCCTGCAGTTTCTGCTGCTGTTGCTGCGGCCCCTGCTGTTGCTGATGCTGTTAGGGATACTGCTGTGGCTGCTGTTGTTGCTGCTGCTGCCTTTACTGCTGTTGCTGCTGCTGCTATTGGTGGTGGTGCTGCTGCTGCAAAAGGAGAGACTGCAGCTCTGCTGCAGCAAGGTTTGCTGCTGCTGCAACAAGGTTTGCTGCTGCTGCAACAAGGTTTGCTGCTGTATCGACAGAGGTTAGAAAGCCCCAAGGGCCCCGCCTTAATGCATGCATGCGCACTGTGCTGCAGCAGCAGCAGCTGCCGCTTTAGCTACTGTGCTCCTGCTCCTGCTGCGTCTGCTGCTGCTGCTGCTATGCTGCTGCAGCCCTGTCCTCAAGCAGCTCTCTACCAGTTCAGATAAGCTAACAACAGGGTTTAGGGTTTAGGGTTTATTAAAGGTGAAAGCAAATATTGTTTAGGAGATATGACAAAGCAGAAAACAAACAAATTCTGCTGCTGCTTTCATTTCCTGCTGCTGCTCTAACTCGCCGTAGTGCCCTTGACCGCTAAGCAGACACCGCAAATAAACACCCTGCTGCTGCTGCTGCTGCTTCTGCTGCAGCAGCAGCAGCAGAGCTGCTAGCTTTGCTGCATGCCATGGGGGCGTCCTGGTGTCTGTGAGGGTCGCTGTTAGCAGCACGGAAGGAAAAGAATAGGGCAGCACAGTGTCTGCTGTCATCTGCTGCTGCTGCTGCTGCTGTTGCTGCTGCAGTTGCTGCTGTTGTTGCTGCTGCAGCAGCGACAGCAGCTGCTCGTAGCAGCAATAGGCAGTGATGTTGCTGCAAGCAGCAGCAGCTTCAGCCTCCGCAAGATCTCCCCATACACCCCACGGATCAATCTCTTGTGCACTTCCCGCTGCTTCTGCTGCTGCTGCTGCTGCTGCTGCCACACTGCTGCTGCTGCTGCTGCTGCTGCTGCTGCTAGGCGCATGCATGCAGCCCCACTCATCTCCCTCTAGTTGTGTCAGAGGCATTAAGGGGTCTTCCATTGCAGAGAAGACATCGACAAAAGGACGGTCAAGCAGCAAACAGCGAACCAAAGGCTCTCCAAACTGCTGCTGCTGCTGCTGCTGCTGCTGCTGCTGCTGCTGTTGGTGCTGGTGCGGTTGCTGTTGCTGTTGCTGGTGCTGTTGCTGCTGTTGCTGTTGCTGTTGCTGGTGCTGTTGCTGTTGCTGGTGCTGTTGCTGTTGCTGCTGTTGCTGCTGCTGCTGCTGCTGCTGCTGCTGCAATTGGCTGGCTATGCAATTGGTGTAGAAGAGATCTGCAGCAGGATTGCTGGCGAGGAGCAGCGCAGCAGCAGCAACAGCACCAGCTGATGCTGCTGCAACAGCAGTGTTGCTGGGGCTGCTGTATCCGAGTGCATACAAGGCAGCAACAGCAGCAGCAGCATCTGCTGCTGTTTGCTGCTTCCTCAAGCCCTTGCCGTCTCCTGTCTCCTCACCCCACACTTCGCCTCCTCCTCTGCAGTGTATATACCCCAGAGCCCACCCCTGCTGCAGCAGCAAAGCAGCAGCAGAATCAAAAGCAGCAGCAAGGGGCTCCTTGTACACTCCATAAATGTGCAGCAGCAAACGAAAACCTCCTGCTGCTGCAGCACCCAGCAACCAGGGAGACGGCAGCAGCAAAGGAGAACCTTCATGAAGATTCAGCACACTGTTGCTGCTGCTGCTGCTGTTGCTGCTGCTGAGGCACCAGCTGTTGCTGCTGCTGCTCTTGTTGTTGCTGCTGCTGCTGCATGAGAGAACGCCTGAAGCAAGTCGCCTGTCGTTGAGCAGCACCATCTGCTGCTGCGGCTGCTGCTGTTGTTGCTGGTGCAGCAGCAGCTGCTGCTGCTGCAGCTGCTGCTGCTGCTGCTGGAAGCAGCCTGCTAAGCACTTAGGGAGTATAAGAGTTATGGGAATTAATATTTGTGTGTCTAACGATGGTACGAGAAGAACTTCAACAGCAAACTTAGCAGCAAACCCATCTGCTGCCCATTGCTGCTGCTGTTGCTGCTGCTGCTGCTGCAGTTGCTGCAGCATCTGCTGCAGCTGCCGGTGGGGGCGCCCTCCTCTAAGCCACCCCCCTATCCTGCTGATGCTACTGTTGCTGCTTCTCCTGCTGCTGCTCTGCTGCTGTTGCTGTCCTGTGTTGCAAGCAGCAGCAAGCCGCTGCACCCGCTGCAGCAGCTGCGGCTGGAGCACAGCTACCTGCTGCTGCTGCTGCTGCGACAAACGAAGAGACGGAAGATGCAGGTGTATAGACACCGCAGGGTGAAACGGAGTCTGCAGCAGCAACTTCACTGCTGCTGCACTGCAGCACGGGTTTGCTCCTGCAGACAGCCGCCCCACACCTCCTAAAGGCAAACATACTTCAGCAGCAGGTGGTGGTGCTGCTGCAGTAGCTTCAGCAGCAGCATCAGCTGCTGCAATAGCAGATGCTGAAATTAGTGGCTTGTTCTGCTGCAGCAGCAGCTGCTGCTGCAGCTGCTGCTGCTGGAGAAGACGCGCCTCCCGAAGCCCCATCCCCCCTGTCCCCACGTCTGCTGCTGCTGCTGCTGCTGCTGTTGCTGCTGCTGCTGCAGCTGCTGTAGGTGGTTTGATTACTAGGATAACGTTACGTGCTGCAGGTCGCTGTGCATACACCGCAATGCCGTGGGAAGTAAAATCTGCATCCCGAACCCGCAACCCCTCAGCTTTGTGCAGCAGCAACAAAGGCAGCTGCTGCTGCAGCTGCTGCTGCGGCTGCTGCTGCAACTGCTGCTGCAGCTGCTGCTGCAGCTGCTGCGGCAGCTGCTGCCCCTGCTTACACGGCCCCGACACAGGTTGCGTCTGCTGTTGTTGTTGTTGCTGCTGCTGCTGCTGCTGGGAACATCCCGTTGCGTCTACAGGCAGAAGACGTCTTTGCTGCAGCAGCTGCTGCTGTCCTGATGTTGCTGCTGCTGCTGCTACTGCAGCAGCAGCAGAAAGAGCAGCGTCAAATGTTTGCTGAGGCAATGCGTAGCAGCTGAAGCCACCCGAGGGATTACAAATAAAGAAATACACAAACGAAGCCCTATGCCGCAACACACCCCAAACCCTAAACCCTAAACCCTAAACCCTAAACCCTGGCTGCCTTCAAACAGACGGCGGACTTCAACTCCGATGGTGTTTACAATTTTATATCATCTTAGGGTTTAGGGTTTAGGAAAACTAGTAGCGAGTGTTTGGTTACCTTAGGGTTTAGGGTTTAGGGTTTAGGGTTTAGGGTTTAGGGTTTGCGTACACAGAATCGAAGAAGTGAGAGACGCCTTCATACAGGAGCTGCGGAGTGCCGTACGGGTTGTCGCTCCTGCAGCAGCAGCAGAAGCAGCAGCAGCAGCAAAAGCAAACAATGCATGTGCAGCGACAAATGCAGCAGCACCAGCAGCCCGTATACCTCCATCAGTAAGCAGGTTGCTGCTGCTGCTGCTTCTGCAGCAGCAGCAGCAAACAGTGGCATCTGCTTTCAACCACTTAACCAGCACCAGCAGCAGGACCAGCAGCAGCAACAGCAGCACCAACAGCAGCGGCAGCAGCAGCAGCAACAGCAGCAGCAGCAGCAGCAGCAAGACACACCGGAGTGCCCAGGTGTATGTGCAGGTCCTGTTTGTTGCAGTAAAAAAGAAATACTCTCCGTCTTTACTCAACCCCACATCATAATGCAGATATGGCTCTGCTGCAGCAGCTCTCCTAGTCACCTGCAGCAGCAGCAGCAGCAGCAGCAGCAGCAGCAGCAGCAAGAGCAGCAGCAGCAGCAGCAGTCACACGCAGCGAAAGAAACTTCAGCATAGAATGTCCGAGCAGCGGCGAAACAACAGCAGCACACGCAGCAGCAGCAGCACCAGCATCAGCAACAGCAACAGCAGCACCAGCAACAACAACAGCAACAGCAGCAGCAGCAAAACGTACAGCTGGTAGTAGCTGCTGCTGCGCCGTCAGCACAAAGGGGAACCTCCAACTGAGTCGCGTTGTCTTCCCTGCAGCAGTATAAATTTCAAGTGTCTGGTTTGCTGCTGCTGCTGTTGCTGCTGCTTCTGCAGTTGTTGATGCTTGTGGCGCCGCTCTTGAAGGCGCAGCAGCAGCAGCAGCAGCCGCAGCAGCAGCAGGAAGCTGAGTAGATGTGAAATCGAAGCGGAAGATTTCCTTGGCTCTTAGCGTTTTGCTGTCAATAGCAGCAGCAAACAGCGCAAATGGCTGCGCAGCAGCAGCAGCAGCAGCAGCAGCAGCAGCAGCGGAGGAGTCGCTGTATGCGCTATCAGTGCCTGATCGGGCGCACATATCTGGGATTATAGCTGCTGCTGTTGTTGCTGCTGCTGCTGCTCTCGTTGCTGCTGGTGCTGCTTCAGGTGTGGGTCTTGCTGCACTTGTTGCTGCTTCTGTTGCTGTTGCTGCTGTTGTTGTGTCTGCTGCTGCTGCTGCTGCTGCATGGAACTCAAAGCCAGAAATATTCTCTATTTCCGCAGCAGCAGGCAACCACTCCCACGGCGACAGCAGGTGTGTCACCCTGCTGCTGCTGCTGCTGCTACTGCTGCTGGTGGTGTTGCAATGTTTGCTGCTGATGCGCAGCAGCAGCAGAGGCTTATCAGTTCCTTCAGGGTCAACGGAGGCCCCTACAATTTGTGCTGCTTCTCCACAAACCCGTATGCTGCGCAGCACAGGAATAGCAGCCCTCTTCTGCTGCTGCTGCTGCTGCTGCTGCTGTCTACTCAGCATGTATGCTCCCAGGTCAAGTATTTGGTCCTCCTGCTCCAGCAGCAAAGCAGCAGCTTCGTGTTGCTGCAGCGATCCGACCGCATCTCCGCGCTGCTGCTGCAGCAGATCCAGCAGCGTCTCCACTTGCTGCTGTTGCTGCTGTTGCTGTTGTTGTTGCTGCTGCTGCTGCTGCTGCAGCAGAGGTCTGCGGCACAGCAGCAGGCATTCAGGAGCGAGAGGCGAAGGCCTGCAGTAATATGCAAAGGGGCCGACAATATCAACGGTGATGTGAACTGCTGCTGCTGCTGCTGCTGCTGCTGCTTCCAGTGCTGCTGCTGTCAGCTCCGGGTGTACAGACACCTGCCGCAGCTGCTGTTGCCGCTGCAATGCTTGCAACGCACGTATCTCCCAATGGACGCTGTTGCCTTGCTGCTGTTGCTGCTGTCGCTGCCGCTGCTGCTGCTGCTGCTGTGTGGTGAGGGGTGCAGGGACGTCTGTGACAATCTGCTGCAATGCGTCTTCTGCTGCTGCTGTTGCTGCTGCTGCTGCTGCAGCAAATGCCTTAAAGTGCCCTAGGGCGCTGCCTACAGCAGCAGCAACTTGCTTCCCTTCATCAGCAACAACGCCTGCTGCTGCTGCTGCTGCTGCTGCTGCTGCTGTTGCTGCTGCTACTACTTTCTGGCGCGCATCTTCCGCAGCAGTTGCTTCTGCTTCTGCTGCTGCTTCTGCTGCTGCTGCTGCTTGTGGGAGCAGCTGCTGCAGCAGGCCCTCCCGCTGCAAGAAGCCTGCAGGGTCTCTTCGGAAGCCTATGAATGGATAGAGTCGTGTTGTTGTTGCTGCTGCTGCTGCGGTTGTTGCTGCTGCTGTTGCTGCTGTTGCTCCTGCTGCTCTTGTTTCTGCTCGTATTGTTGTTGTTGTTGCTGCTGCTGCCGTTGTTGCTGCTCTCGTTCTGCTGCTGTTGTCTGTGCTTCCAACATCCGTGGCCTTGCTGCTGCAGGTGCAGAAGGCTTTTCTGCTACTGCTGTTGCTGCTGCTGTTGCTGTTGCTGCTGCTGCTGCTGCCGCTGCTGCACACTGGAATAAAGGCTTGTAGGTTATGAATGGATTTGCTACAAAATTGTTGTCTTCTTGCTGCTGCTGTTGCTGCTGCTGCTGCTACTGATTCTGCTGCAGCCGTCTCTGTTGCTGCCCCTACCCCCTCTGCTGTTGCCCCTGCTGCTGCTGGTCCTGTTGCTGCTGCTGCTGCTGCTGCTGCTGCGGAATGGAGGTATCTGCCTCTGTAGCAGCACTGCAGATAAAAAGAGAAGACAGATGAAGTGGATGTACACCCCAGAAGACGCAGCAAAGTCATGGAGCTCAGGTAAGCAGCAGCAGCAGCAGCAGCAGCAGCAGCAGCAGCAAAGACAACAACAGCTGCAGCAACTGCTGCTGTCGCTGTTGCCTGCTGCTGTTGCTGCTGCTACTACTGATACGGCTGCTGCTGCTGCTGCAGTTTCGTATGTGCTAATTTATGACAAGTGAGCTGCAGCAGCAGCAGCAGCAACAACAGGTGCATCAGCAGCTGCTGCAGCAGCAGGCGATACTCCTCTGGCTGAGTGCAAAACTAGCAACAGCAGCAGCAGCAGCAGCAGCAGCAGCTGAACAGCAGCGTCAATCAAGGCTAGAGTATATGGGACTATGACGGAGATTTCCTCTCCTGCTGCTGCTGCAGTGTCGATTGCCCGCCATACTCTTGCTGCTGCTGCTGCTGCTGCTGCTGCTGCTGCTGCTGCTGAAGTAGTGTTTGCTGGTTTTGCTGCTGCTGCTGCTGCCGACAATCCTACACCAGCATATCAGCCTCTGTTAGTGGTGCAGTCATCACAGCAGCTGCAGCTGCAGCAGCAGCAGCAGCAGCAGCAGCGCAGCAGCAGCAGGGCCTCGGGTGGGCCCCCCCAAACGAGACACACACGTACTTTATGATTGCTGCTGCTGTTGCTGCTGCTGCTGCTGTGTATATTTAAAACGCTTCAAGTTAGAAGACATTGTCTTCCTCAGTGGATCTGCAGCAGCTGCTGCACGAGTAGCAGCCGCTGCTGCTGCTGCTGCAGATCACTCGACAAGGAACAGCAGCAGCAGCAGCAGCAGCAGCTGCTGCTGCTGTTATACTACTCCAGACAGTATTGGGTTTATTGAAATATATTTCTGAGGCTTTGTCTTATCCATCCATTTCTTTTCCTGCCTCTACTACTGCTGCTGCTGCTACTGCTGCTGCTGCTGCTGCTGCTGCTGAGCCTCTGGGCCCGTCGTGTGCTGCAGCAGCAGCATCACATTGTTAGCAGAGCCTTTTAGCAGCAAAAAGGCAGCATAGAGGGCGAGAACAGCAGCAACAGGCAGCAACAAGCAGAAACAAGCAGCAACAAGCAGCAACAAGTAGCAGCAGTAGCAGCAGCAGCAGCAGCAGCAGTAGCAGCAGCAGCAGCAAAGATGCTGGGAGCAGCAGCACCCCCTCGCATTGCCCCTTGTTCAATTTGCAGCAGCACCAGCGGCAGCAGCTGCGTCTGCTGCCCTCAGGGTATATGTGAGGGGCCCCCGGCACTGCTATCTGCTGCAGCAGCAGAAGCAACAGCAGCGCTGCTGCAGCAGCAGCAGCAATGGAGGCGCGTTGCTTTGCTGCTGCCGCAGGATAATCTTGGAGAAGCTGCAGACTTTCTTGTGGCCTTCAGAAACAAGTGGACTCAGCAGCAGCAGCAGAAGCAGCAGCAGCAGCAGCAGCAGCAACAGCAGCAGCAGCAAGCTGCAGAAGCACATGTTGACGCCGGCAGCAAACGGCCCGATACAGCAGGAGCGACACATCTCCAGCAGCAGCAACAGCAGCAACAGCAGCAGCAACAGCAACAGCAGCAGCAGCAGCAGCAGTTGGATCCCCCCTTTATCTATTTCGTTTCGGAGCGTCCGTCTGGTTATTGCTGCAGCGATTTGAGTGGTGCTGCTACGCTTTCACCTGATTTGCTGCTGTCTGCTGCTGCTTCCTGCTGCTGCTGCCAGCCTGCTGCTGCTGTTCCCCGACCTCTTCTTTTTACCTCTCCAAGAGCTTTCTTCAGCGTCTCTCATTGTGCAGCAGCAATAGCAAAGAAGTACTTTGCTGCTGCTGCTGCTGCTGCTGCACCTGCTGCTGCTTCGAGTGATGCAGCAGGAGCATCAGCAACAGCAGCAGCAGGTGGAGGAAGAATAGCAGCTGCAGCAGCAGCAACAGCAGCAGCAAAGACAGCTCTAGTGTTGTTTTTAGACTCCCCAGTGCAGCATAGCTTAGGGTGTTTGCTGCGGCATCTGCTGCAGCTGCTTGGTGATGCAGCAGATGCTGCAGCAGCAACTGCTGCTTCCAGCATCAGCACCACACCAGCACGCTCTCTCTCCCCTACTGGCAGCACCACTCCTGCTGCTGCCGCTGCTGCTGCTGCTGCTGCTGCTGCTGCTGCTGCTGCTGGTAGCTGCGCATGCACTTGGAAAGACACGGGGCTGTACGTTGCTCTGTCCCCTTGTATGCTGCTGCCGGCTTCAGATTTTGCTGCTGCTGCTGCTGCTTCTGCAACAGGAGAACTCGCAGCAGCAGCAGCAGCTGTTGCTGCTGCAGCGCCAACAGCAGCAACAGCAGCAGAATCTCCAACAGCAGCAGACACTCTCATTGGAGGCCGCTGCGGTGAGGCGTGTGCGGAGCAAACTACTGCATGCTTGCTGCTGCAGCAGCGCCAGGTGCAGCAGCAGCAGCAGCAGCAAGAAGAGCAGCAGCTGCCGTTGCTGCTGTCTGATGCAGCACAGCAGCAATATGCAGAGTTGTTTAAACTTCCAGGGATGCGTTCATCTCAGATTTGTTTCCTGAGGCCCTGCGAGCTGCCAGCAGCAGCAACAGCAGCAACAGCAGCAGCAGCAACTGCAGCAACAGCAGCAGCAGCAGCAAAAGTAGGATTCAAGGGGCAGCTAGTGAGCATTCAAGCGCAGCAGTTTCTCCGCGTCTGCTGCCGCATATTATTTCGTGTCTATAGAAGACCAGATGATGGGGCTGTAGGCCTAGCACCAGTGCTGCAGCAGCAGCAGCAGCAGCAGCAGCAGCAGCAAGGAAAGCTCAAGCTACCTGAGCCCTCTACCTTGCCGCAGCAATTAGGTGCTCAAGTCTTACTCGTTTATATCGGCCCAACCAGCGGGAAAGAAGAGCAGCAGCAGCAGCAGCAGCAACTGCAGCAGCTGCAGCAGCTGCAGCAACAGGGCGAAAAGAACAGCAAGTGCGCATGCACTCAGCTGCAGCAGCAGCACAGGACGCTTGCAGAGACAATTGAAGAAACACCCCCATCGCCGCTGCTGCAGCGGCTGCTGCTGCGGCATGGCAGCAGCTGCAGCATCTTTTCTATAGACATGTTGCTGCAGCAGCAGCTACTGCTGCTGCTGCAGAAGCAGCAGCAGCAGCGGCAGCAGCCAGAGGGATGCATGTGCTTGTTTGCCTCATCAGACACAGCTGAAGCAAGCATAACCAGCATCTTTTCGAGCAGCAGCAGCAGCAGCAGCAGCAGCAGAAACAGCAGCAGCAGCAGCAGCAGGGATGGCAACGGTAGCAGCTGCTCCTGCTGCAGCAGCGGCAGCTGTTGCGCAGATCTGCTGCTGGATGAAGGTCCTCGTGTGTCTGCACTTCTCGGGCGTCAGTTTGCTGCATCAGCAAAGCTAGCAGCAGCAGCAGCAGCAGCAGCAAAAGCAAAACAAGCAGGTATTGCTGCTGGTTCTCAGCTCTCGCTGCTGCTTGTAGGGCAGCAAACGTATGCCTCGTTGCTGCTACACCGTCAGCTGCTGCGGCTCATAAGACAGCGTCTAGCAGCAGCAGCAGCAGCAGAAGAGCAGAAGAGCAGCAGCAGCAGCAGCAGCTCGTGGGAGGAAGCAGACGAGTCAGATGAAGAGGAGGAAGATGAACAGCAGCAGCAGCAAGTGCTGCAGCTGCTGCAGCAGGCGTGTATATCTGTGGCTGTAGGAGATGTTACAGCAGCAAAGCTATATAATTACAGTGAAGTCGGAGGCTTCTGCATGCTGGGGTGTACAGACAGCTGCCTGATGCTGCAGCAGCAGCAGAAGCAAATAGGGTATAGTGGTGTGCTGCTGCTGCCAATCGATATATTAATTGCTTTAGGTGTAGCATCGCTATCTCCTCATAGACTTGTAGATGCAGAAGAGCTGCTGCCGCTGCTGCTGCAGCTTGAACAGCAGCAGCAGCAGCAGCAGCAGCAACTGCAGCAGCAACAGCAGCAGGGGGAAAACGAAACACAGCCGCAATCTGATGCTGCGCTGGCACTCCGCAGCAGCAGCAGCAGCAGCAGCAGCAACAGAGCGCTTGTTTCTGCTTTCTCTATGCAGTCGCTGCTGCAGCAAGGCCAGAGAAGTTATAAAGGAGTGCTTTACAGTAGGCAGCAACAGGAAGGTGAACAGCAGCAGCAGCAGCAGCAGCAAGAACAAATCCTGCAAGGCAGATCAGGTGTTGCTAGCGGGTACGAAGAAGAGCAGCAGCACCAGCAGCAGCAGAAGTAGCACTAAAAGCAGCAGCAGCACCAGCAGCAGCAGATACATTAATGCTGCAGCCTTTTAGTCGTAGCAGCAGCTCTTCTGCCGAGCCTTCTAGTCAAGCAACAGCAGCACCAGCAGCAGCAGCAGCAGCACAAGAAGCAGCAGAGGTAATTAAAGTGCTGCTTGCTTGTTTGTTTTTGTTGCTGGTTTGTGAGGCAGCACTTGCTGCTTTGCTCTCCAGCTGAGCATAGCTAGCTAGCCCTGAGCTTGTATGACTAGCTGTTTATATGTGTAGCTAGCTGTTTATTTGTGTAGCTAGCTGTTCCTTTATTTGGGGGTGGCTGTGCGTCTGTGCAGCAGCCAGCTGCTTCCTTATTTAGCTAGCTGGTTGTCTTTGAGGCTCGCTGCTTGTCTCTGTATGTGGCTAGCTAGCTAGCTAGCTAGCTAGTTAGCTGGTTGTCTGTGCGGTCTGCGGGCGTCTGGTTTTCTGTATGGCTGGCTGACTCTCCGTGCTGGATGTATGGTGGCTAGCTAGCTAACACTGGCTAGCTGGTTGCTGCTTGCGTGGCTAGCTGCCTGGCGTTGTTTCCTTGGCTAGCTAGCTAGCTAGCTAGCTAGGTGGTTGTCTGTGTAGCTATATAGCTAGTTGAGTGTATATGTCTAGCTGGCTAGCTAGCTAGCTAGCTAGCTACACGGTTAGATAGCTAGCTGTATGTGTGCTGGCTACAACTTTTGTTGTTTTAAGGCGGCTCGCGGTGATATAAAGAGAGAGGAGGCAAAATAAATAAAATAAATAAAATAAATAAATAAATAAATAAATAAATAAATAAATAAGTAAATAAATAAATAAATAAATAGCTTTAATTAATTAATTAATTAAGTAGAGACAAAGACACAAACAAAGAAAAGTAAACAAAAAGAGACAAACAAACAGAGATAGAGAGACAGAGACAGAGACAAACAAAAGGAGAGACAAAGCAAAGAGACAGAGAGACAAAGACAGAGACAGACAAACAAATAGATAGAGAGATAGACAGAGAGACAGAGACAGAGAGAGAGAGACAAACAAATAGATAGACAGAGAGACAGAGACAGAGACAGACAAACAAAGAGATAGACAGAGAGACAAAGACAGAGAGAGAGAGAGACGAACAAATAGATAGATAGACAGACAAAGACAGAGACAGACAAACAAAGAAAGACATAGACAGACACAGACAGAGAGAGAAACAAATAGATAGATAGAGAGACAAAGACAGAGACAGACAAACAAAGAGATAGACAGAGAGACAGAGACAGACAGAGAGACAAACAAAAAGATAGAAAGAGAGACAGAGACAGAGACAGACAAACAAATAGACAGAGAGACAGAGACAGAGAGAGACAAACAAAGAAAGAGACAGAGAGACACAGACAGAGAGAGAGAGAGAGACAAACAAATATATAGAGAGAGACAGAGAGACGAACAAGTAGATAGAGAGACAGAGACAGAGAGAGACAAACAAAGAGATAGATAGACAGACAGACAAAGACAGAGACAGAGACCAACAAATAGATAGAGAGACGAAGACAGAGAGACACGAGCAAAGAGATAGACAGAGAGAGAGAGAGAGAGACAAAGCAAAGAGACCGACAAAGACAGAGAGAGACAAACAAAGAGATAGAGAGAGAGACAAAGACAGAGACAGAGAGAGACAAACAAATAGATAGAGAGACAGGGAGAGA